GCTGCTGCTGCTGCAGCAGCAGCAGCAGCAGCAGCTCCACCAGCTCGTCCAGCAGGACGCGCAGCAGCAGCTGCTGCAGCAGCGCCACGCCGCAAGGGACAAAGACAAAGACAGCCTCAAGTGGGCTGCAGCAGAAGCAGCGGCCGCGCCCGATCAAACCCTCGCGGAACTCCCGCAGCAGCAGCAGCAGCACCAGCAGCAGCAGCAGCAGCACGCCTCGGGGGCCCCACCCCACAAACGCAGGAGACAGAAACTGTCTTCCGCAGACCTCTGAGCTGTCCATACACCCCAACGAGAGCGCGCCACCCCAGCCTGCGCTGTACGTGCAGCTGGGGACCAGCAGCAGCAGCAGCAGCAGCTGCTGCTGCTGCTGCTGCTAAAAGGCGAAAAAAGGAGACACTGGAGAAGCGCATGCAGCTACCGCTGGAGCAACGCATGCAGCAAAACCGACTTTCAGGTGTATATACCCCCTGCTGCTGCTTCGTTTGTTTGTTTGTTTGTCTGTGCTCAGCCTCCAGCCGCGCTGCTGCTGCTGCTGCTGCTGCAGCAGCAGCAGCAGCAGGGGCCCGCGGGGCTGCGAGTGCATGCGCCTGGATGCGCGTCCGTGCATGTAGTGCCTCTCTGTATATAATGTGTTGATTTAAAATTCAAAAGAAAAACAAAAAGACATGTTGTGTTATATCGGGGCTTTGCATGCACTGGGCTGTTTGTGGGGAGTCTGTGGGCTGCGGCACAATCTTGTGCAAATGAAAATTCGAAACGAAAATAAATAAATAAAATAAAATGATTTATTTCTCTTTTCCTTCGCGAGGTGCTTTTGTTACTCGGTGCTCAGGTGTACGTACACCTGAGCTGCGACGCGGTGTACGTACACCTGCATGCACACGCAGCGCATGCAGCTGCTCTTTGCATTTATATTTATTGCAAATGTCAAAAGTTTATTTTCTATTTTTATTTCTTTGCATTTATTTTCACATTCCGCAGAAACGCATTTGCTCGCCAGCAGATGCACCCCAATTAATTAATTATATTAATTAATTGCTTTAATTAATTTAATTGATCTAATTAATTTAATTAACTAATTAATTAAGTTAATTAATTAATTAATTAATTAAATCAAAATCAAAAGAAATGCAAATGTTTATGCGCGTCTGCACAAATGTACACCGCAGCTTACACACACGTAAATGCCTTTCAGGGAAGTAGAAATATAAATGCAAAATAAACAAATGAATAAATAAATGAATGAATAAATAAACAGTTAAATAAATAAACAAATAATAAATAAATGCAAACGCATGCATGCGCACGGTGCAGGTGTAAAGTTGTTTGTGTAGTGGTGTTTGTGCGCTGGGGTGTACGTACAGGGCTTTGCTGCGTGGCTGTGGGGCTGCATGCGTTTTGCATGCAAAAGTGTTTCTTAAATGGATTTATTTGTGCTCAAATCCAGTGAAGGGACTTGTCCCAACTTATTCCTTTTGCCGTCGGCATTTGGGGCTTTGCATGCGCTGCAGGGGCCCCCATTTGCCCTTCTTGTGACTTGTGGGGCCCCACGGGCGTGGGGCCCCACACTTGAGGTGTACGTACACCCCAGCACAGGGCCCCCCAGGGCCGCCGAGGCCCCGGGGGGCCTCCTAGGTGCTGTTCCGTGCTCAAGCCGACTATGTCAGCAGCAGCTGCAGCAGCAGCAAGCAGCTGCAGCAGCAGCTGCAGCAGCAGCAGCAGCAGTTCGCTGCTGCTTGCATGCAGGTTGGTGTTTCTGTGGACTGAAGAGTCTCGGTGGTGTTGGTTTCTTTTTGGGTTTTGTTTGAGGAGGGCTGCCAGCCGCTAAAAAGGCTAACGAATACGTATTTATGTATAAATAGATATTTATATAGATGCAAATATAAATATGAATTTAAAGATAAATAAATGTCTTTATAGAAGTTGAGCTCCTTGTGAGTGTCGTAGCGGTGAAATTGCCTTCAGGGGCAGCAGTGCAACGGCGAGAATGCAGCAGCAGCAGCAGCCGCAGCAGCAGCAGCAGCAGTAGCAGCAGCAGCAGCATGGACTTATTTGTTTTTATTTATGCTTATATAACGTACGTTAGATTCTGTGTTTATTGCTTATATTATATTGAAATGGATTATGCATGCAGTATATATCGAAATGCATGCACTTGTATAGGCTGCGCATGCATGCATGCACGCATGCATGCATGCACATTTATGTTTGTACCACAAAATGTAAATTTATATTTAGAATTGCATCTGATTATGTTTAGGCCTTTATTTTGTATTTATATATAAATGAATGCATTTATTTATATATTTACTTTTGAGTATTTGGTCAAGAAATTTGCATGCAACTTTCGGGTGTACAGACACCTGAGAGCTGCGCACGCGTGGGCGGCGAGAGAAAAGAAAAGCCATCTATACAAAAGTATAAATAAATGAATAAACGAATAAATAAACGAATAAATAAATGAATAAATAATGAATAAATAACGAATTGAGAAATAATAAATGGTAAAAGGCAGAATATAGCTCCTGCACTTGTGTGAATATTTGCATTTAAATTGAACACATTTATTCATTTATGGTTCCAAATTGAAATGAAACAAATATTACATCAAATGCAAACACAAGTGCGGCCGGCCCACAAACTTCCGCCAGAAATCCAGGTGTCTAGACACCCCACCAGGTGTCTAGACACCTCACCGGGTGTCTAGACACCTCTCTCCTCCCGTCTCTTCTTCGCCTCAACTTAGGCCAAGAGTCCGAATTGAATTACTTCTTTTTCCCGCCTCTCGGGGCTGCATGCGCCCCGCATGCAGCCCCAAGCGGACAAGAGCACGCGCCCCAGCTAGCCAGCTAGCCAGCTAGCTAGCTAGCTAGCTGGCCAGCTAGCTGGCGCTGCGGCGGGGCCTCATTTAATTAGTTAAGTAGTTGGCTAGCTGGCTAGAGGGCTAGCTAGCTGGCTAGCTATTTAAACTGTGGACGAGGCACCGCCAGCTAGCGAGCTAGGCAGCTTGCTGGCTGCATGGCTAGCTAGCTAGCTAGCTAGCTAGCTAGCTAGCTAGCTGCTTGGCTGGCTAGCTAGTAGCTTGGCACTGTAGGTGGCATCTCCATGCTAGTTAGATAGCTAGCTGGCCAGCTAGCTGGCTTAATGGCTAAACGCCCACCAGGAACATCAGCTAGCTGGCTAGCTAGCCTGTTAGCTAGCTAGCTAGCCAGCTACCTAGTCAGCTAGCTAGCTAGCTAGCTAGCCAGATAGCTAGCTTGCAGCGCGGGGCAACGCCAGCGGCAGCACGGCGAAAGAAGTGGCAGCAACAGGAGACAACGACCAGCAGCAGCAGCAGCAGCAAAAGGAGACCAGCAGCAGCAGCAGCAAAAACGCCAAATGATCCAGCAACAGCAGCAGCAAAAAGGCCAAATGAATAAAACAAACTTCAAAAAAAGAAGCAACAGTGAAACAGAGGCAGCAAATAAAGAACAGAAAATAAAATACTGTCCCCTGAATAACGGAAACTCAAAGGTCCCCTTTTCTTTACTGCCCGTCTCCCGCAGCGAAGCTGCATGCAGCTGGCAAACACACAAAAGCCCCAAATGCATGCATGCATGCATGCATGCATGCACGCATGCATGCATGCATGCACGCGTTTGGGTCTTTTGCCCATGTAGCTGTGCATGCATGCACGCATGCATGCGTGTATATTTCTGGGGCTTCTGCTCATGCATGCATGCGCGCATGCAGGCACGCGTTTTCGGACTTTTGTCCAAGCACCCTTTTGGGGCTTTCGCATGCATGCATGCATGCATGCATGCATGCATTTAGGGGACTTTCCTGGGCTTTGAGGCGCCACTTGTTGATTTAGCTCGGCTGCAAACTGCTGGTGCTGCTGTACCTGCTGTTGCTGCTGCTGATGTTGCTGCTGCTGCTGCCATCGCAGCACTCGGAACTGCTGCTGTTGCTGCTGCTGCTGCTGCTGGCTGCTGTCTGCACCGTCGCCGCAGCAGCACTTTCTAAATCTTCCTGCAGCTGCTGCTGCAGCAGAGGGTCATGTGCATGCGCATGCAGCTGCCGGAGGCTTTGTGGCTGGAGCAAGCAGCAGCTGCTGCTGTCAGCAGCAGCAACAGCAGCAGCAGCAGACAACGGGTCCCCTAGCACCCGCCGCACGCCCGTCGCATGTCCCTGTACACTGCTGCTGCTGCTCAAAACCTGCTGCTGCTGCTGCTGCTGCTGCTGCATCTGCTGCTGCTGCTGCTGCGTCCCTCCACCGGAGCCCCACGCTGCGCCTCCGTCGCTGCTTCCGCAGCAGCCTTGGCTGCTGCTGCTGCCGTCTCCGCCCCCCCCGCCGCCGCCGCTGCCGCTGCTGCTGCTGCTGCTGCTGCTGCTGCTGCTTTTGCATGCATGCGCATGCAGCCACGGGGCCGCCCCACAGCGCCGCAGGTGCAGCTCGAGGTGCATAGACACCTCATCTGCTGCAGCAAGAAAAGGGAAAGGACCGCCGCTGCGCATTTCTGCAATTTTGGCCTCCGGGTATCTGAAAAAGACATTTTAAATCCTATTTTCGAACTTTTAATCCCATTTTGGATGCACTTAAATGAACTAAATCAATTAAATGGTTCAAATGCACTGAAGGGATCAAATGGATCAAAAAGTGGGCTGAAAGGAGAGCCAATGGACAGAAAACGGCGCTAAAAATGAGCCAAAAAAAGAAAAAGTGGCCAAAAAGAGTTAAAAAAAGATTAAAGTGAAATAAAAAGATTCAAAAAAGAAAAAGAAATTAAAAATGAAGGGAAAGAAAAAAGAATTTTAAAGAGAGATAAAACGGAGACAAAAGAGAGACAAAAAGAGATTAAAAAATAAAAAGAAACAAAAAGAAAACAGAAAGAAGCAAAAAGAAGAAAAGGAGAGACAAAAAAGGAGACAAATGAAGAAATGAAAAAGACAAAAATAGAAACAAAAGGAGACAAACAAAACACAAAATGGGGATTAAAGAAAGAAACAAGAAATAAAAGGAAATAGAAAGAAAATAAAAAGAAACAAAAAGGAGACAAAAAGAAGGGAGAAAGGGACAACAATATAAAGACAAAAAAGATTTTAAAACGATTTTAAAAGATTAAAAGAGATCAAAGGAGGAAAAAAAGATTTTGAAAATTCAAAAAAAAGAGCCAAAGTGAAAGAAAGCGAAAGCCTCTAAATGTCCAAAAATGTCAAAAAAGTGGAAACAAAAATCAAATAAAAATGAAACTAAAATGACATTAAAAGCGAAGTGAAAGTGGAAATAAAAGTGGAAATAAGAGGGAAATAAACAGGGAATAGAAGTGAAAAAAAGAGGGAATAAAAGGCAAATAAAAAGCAAATAAAAGTGGAACAAAAGTGTCAAAAAATTGGAAAAAAGTGGCAAAAAGAGGAAAAAAGTGCGAAAAAGGGAAAGGGAAAACGGACTGCTGCAGCAAAGCTGTTGCTGCTGCAGCAGCAGCAGCAGCAAAGTTGCAGTCCAGAGTCTGCAGCAAAAGTAGACAGTCCCTTTTTGCCAAGTGGGGCACGAAGGGGGGCGGGGCCAGACTCAAGTGCAAGCTGCAAAAAAGCAAAAAAATAAAGTTTTTTAATTGCTTTTCAATTGGTTTTTAATTCTTCTTTAATTGTTTTTAATTGCCTTTTGATTGTTTTTTAACTGTTTTTTGTTTTTAATTGTTTTTAATTATTTTTAATTGTTTTTAAATTGTTTTTTGATTGTGTTCAAGTGTTTTTACTTGCTTTTAATTGTTCTTAATTGCTTTTGTTTTTAATTGTTTTTTGTTTTTTAATTGTTTTAAAGGGATTTAAGCGGTGAACTGGTTAGAGAGAGGGAGGGACTCAAGTGGAATTGATTTTAAATGGTTTAAAGGATTTAAAAAGAGAAAAAAGATTTAAAAGGATTAAAAAATGTTTTTAAAAATGATAAAAAATGATCAAAAAGTGATTAAAATGTGATTAAGGAAAGCTTAAAGAAGAGACAAAAAGATATTTAAAGGGACTGAGAAGTAACAAACGACAAAAATAAAAATCGAAGAAAAGAATTAAAAAGAATTAATCTAAAAAGAATTAAAAAGAATTAATTTAAAAAGAATTAAACGAGGATTAAAAGGAATTAGTTTAAAGAGAATTAAAAAAGAATTAAGAAGAATTAGAAAAGAATTAAAAAGCATTAATAAAAGAATAAAAAAAGAGTTAAAAAGAGAAAAAAGGTTTGAAAAGGCTAAAAAGAGATTTTAAAAGGATTAAAAAAAGAATAATAAAAGCATTAAAAAAGAAAAAAAAATAAATAAATAAATAAATAAAGCTGACGCGAGTCTAGCAGCAAGTTCTGCTGCAGTAAGTGTCTCCAACTGGGCGATGAGAAACTCTTTGCTGTTTTTGACTTCGAGAGTTTCCTGCGGCTGCAGCAGCACAGCAGCAGGAGCTGCTGCTGCTGCTGCTGCTGCTGCGGCATCAGCAGCAGCAGCAGCAGCGCGGGAGTCCTGCGGCAGCTGCGAGCTGCTGCAGAAGGCCCCGAAGAGGTCCTCGCCCTCCCCGTCTTCCCTGCTGCTGCTCCTGCTGCTGCTGCTGCTGCTGCTGGGGTCAGCAGCAGCAGCAGCAGTAGCAGGAACAGCAACTGGCTTCAAAGGCCGCAGGAAATGAGATATAATTATCTTTCGAAGAGCAGCATGAGGCAAAAGAGACAAAAAAGGAAAAAGGAGACTCCGCAGAGAAGCCCGCGAGGCCCACAGCGCCTCCGCGCTGCAGCAAACACACACACTTCCTGCTGCTGCTGCTGCTGCTGCTGCTGCTGCTGCTGAGGTGCAAGCAGCAAGCTGCAGCTGCATCTTCTGGGCTTTAAGTAGGGAATTAATGGCTTTTAAAGAGGATAAACTCGAGTTTAGAACTCAAACAAACACTCTGCTGCTGCTGCTGCTGCTGCTGTTGCTGTTGCTGTTGCTGCTGCTGCTGCTGCTGCTGCTGCTGCTGCTGACCTCAAATGGGAATTCAGCAGCACAACACTCTTCACCACTGCCGGCCTCATGGCCGCAAAGTGCAGCGCCAAAAGGCCCCCGAGTTCCGACCCCACAAGGTGCACTGCCCTGCTGCTGCTGCTGCTGCTGCAGCTGCTGCAGCTGCTGCTGCTGCTGCTGCTGCTGCTGCAGAACTGGTCTATGAAACTGTCCAGGCCAGAAAGGAGACAGGACAAAGAGGAGAAGGCCGGCCACTGTAGAGACACCGCGTGGTAGCCCTGAAGCAAAAAATTGAGACTTAAAAATAAATAATTTAATTAATCAAATTTAATTAATTTAATTAATTTGATTAATTAAATTAATTTAATTAATTAAATTAATTAATTTAATTAATTAATGGTCAAGGAAAGAAAATGGGGGAAAGGTAGGCCAAAGCAGACGCAAAGATCATGCCGCAGAGT